GGTTTTGGCAGAGTAATGCCCCAATCGTCAGCAGTTGTAAGCCCAGAAGGAATAACAGGAGCCCCCTCTGCTGTTCCACTCTGGGAAAGAAAACAGGTCATTCCTCCCATTTTGCAAACCCCTCACTTTTGCACCATGGGTCTCAGTCCCAGTCTCCTGCAGCCATCCTTCCCTGATGGCTTTGCACACTCCACAGAGGGGAGACCAGAGTGAGACACTTCCCAAGGCCACTCAAGGCCACATCATCTGTGCGGAAAACCTGTCTTGTGAACGTCTGCAGCCTCGTCTCGTCAGCCTGGTTCAACACTTTGGTCACAATGGATGCCAGCTGGACTGCTCCCTTGGTCGGGCAACTCAACCTCCCTAACACTTGATGTCCTTGTCTGTAAAATGAGGTTTATTGCTGGATCAGGCTCATCGTGCCAAGACAGGCAATGTGCTTATGTCAGGGTGCGACAGGAACTCAACGTTATTCCAGGAATGGTCCAGGTTCTCTCTTATCTCCAACATTTTAAAAATATGTTTTTATTGATTTCAGAGAGGAAGGGAGAGGGAGAGAGAGAAACATCAATGATGAGAGAGAATCATTGATTGGCTGCCTCCTGCACGCCCCCTACTGGGGATCCAGCCTGCAACCCAGCCATGTGTCCTTGACGGGAATCAAACCTGGGACCCTTCAATTCACAGTCCGACGCTCTATCCACTGAGCCAAACCTGCTAGAGCTATATCCAGCATTTTCCATAGAAGGGACCAGCCCTACTCCTGCTCATTCTGGGTGCCCTTCCCTTTCATGCCACAAGCACCAAGTTGCCACTAGGGGCTCCCACAGCCTCAGTATTCCCTTCAACCCACTCTGATCATTGTGGATTCTGACTGTCATGTCAACCTCCCCCATCAGACTAGGGGCTTGAGGAGAGCAGGTTCAGGACTGACTCATCTCTGGGTCCTCAGCATTTCTCAGCACAGGAGGCCCCAGGAAATGGATGATGATTGGATGGATGGAGGAATGAATGAATGAATGAATGCAGATAGATCTCTTCTCCACCTGACAGACTCCTACTCATCCTTCAAGAGCCAGCACAAATGCTCCTTGTCTAAGTCCTTTATTCTCATCTACACTCTGGGCTCTCCTGGTCCCTGGTATCTCTGCTGTCACAGCTCTGGTCACCAGAACTGGAATGATATGTATCTAGTTTCTCTCCCTCACCAGCCTGGGAGCCATGAGAGGGTAGACCTTGGGCATGACCCATCTGTGGGCCCCCATCACCACCCATAAAAAAAGTTGAGCACCCACTTATTTACCCATCTATAGTTACTAAGCATCCAGGCATTATGGTGTGAACCAAGGAAACAACCGGAAACAAAATCAACAAAAACCTCTGCCTCCATGAAACCTACTTTCTGGTGGAAAAGACAAGCAAGAAAATAGATAACTTCAGATAGTGATTTAAAACCTATAAATGAAAAAGGGGAGTGTGGCAGGATGATGTTACTATTTGCTGAGACTGTGTTCTGGAGCAGGGCTGAATATATCATGGATGTTAATTTTAAATTTTCTATTGGCCTCATTTATAAAGTAAAAATAAACGGGCACAATTCATTTTAATGTGACACTAACCCAATACATAAAAAATATTATTGTTTCAACATGCAATCAAGATAAAACTAGTGAGGGATTTTACATCCTTTTCTCACATAAAATCTTCTAACCTGGTACGTATTTTGCACTTACATTACAGCCCAATTCAGACTAGCTGCAGTCCAAATAGCCATCAGCCATGTGTGGCCAATGGGCAACACACTGAATAGCAACACCAGGCCCAGAAAAGGAAGCCTTCCCTGAATTATGAAAATTAAATGAGATGAAGATAATGAAAGCGTACTGTTCTTTCAATACACAGTAACTTTCCCGGTTAACTCATTGAGTGGGTACTATTATTGTCATCCCCACTTTACAGCAGAGGAATTTGAGATGGTGCGTGGGAAGTGCCAAGCGGTGTCTGGCACAGGCGGACTGCTCATTCAGTGCTGCTCCCCCACTTCCACCGTCCCTAACCCCCACCCCCCAAGTCCTCCTCAGCAGCACTTACAACCTCTGGGCTTTATCATCCCTATCTCCCCAACCAGTCCGGATGCAGCCGTGTCTCACAAGACGGGCCTGGCACGAAGGAAGCCTCCGGAAATGATGAACAAATGAATGAGTCTAATGACCAGGGTTTAACCCTTACAACAGGAGCCCCCCATCATCCGTCACTCTCAATCTCCCCGATCAAGGACCTCACTGGGTTAGACACAAGAGGAACTCAGACAATAACACACAGGAGAGGGGGCTTGGATCTGGGGAGGCCCTCCGTTGTCTTGTTTTTGTTTTGGGGGCTTGTGCCCCCGGGAACCCTCCGTTTCACGGGTCTCACCTGTCCTCCATCCCGAGCTCTGCCTTCAACGCCACCAGGCAGAAGGCGGGCGCATTGGTGCCGGACCACACCTGCGCATCACCGCTAACGGGATCCACGCCCCGAGCCCGCAGCTCGTGGAGAGAACCGTAAACCCGACCCTATCTGCTCCCCGCACGCACCCAACTGCCACCCCGCGGGGGGGCGCACCCAGTGTCCCCTCGGAACCTGTCCAGCGCCAGCGCTACCTTTCCCTTTCTCAACCCACCCATTTCTCCCCCACCCCGCAGCCTCCCCAACCGAAAACTCTATCATACTCCCAAGAAAGCACGAAATCTGAAAAATATCCTCTCCATCTTTGGAATAAACTGCACAGTACACAGGGCGCAACAGAACACAGAAACCAGGCGCCACTCCAGCTCCCCGCGCAGGCGCACGTGCATTCAGAGGGCGGTGGGCGGGACGCGTGACGTCAGCGCGCGAAGCTCATAGGGAGTTGTAGGCCTCGTTTGCGCGAGAAAAGCGGCGCTTTGGGCTAAACCGCCGCACGGGCACCTGGGAGTCGTAGGCGTGTAGAGCTGAAAGCCTTCTGGGAGTCGTAGTCTGTTTACCCACTTCCGCGTTTTCTGGGAGCCTGGACCTACCAGCACAGGTTCTGCTCAGGTGAGTGGCGGGCTGGACTCGTCCCTTGGTCTTGCTGCCACGTAGAAGCTGGTGTTCTCCATGTTTCTCTCCCACGCATTCCGGTAGCCATACCGGCAGAGTCGCTCTCCTCTCCGTGATCCCCCAATGCCTGTCTCCTGCGACCCGCTTTAGACTCAGCATCTGGGTCTGACTCCTCGTTCCCACCACCCAAGCTGGGTGCAGTGCAAGCGCATGCTCCTCTGTCCCCTTACCGCCTAGAGGGGTCAGGGATGGCCTAGGGGGCGATCATGGCGGCCGTTTGAGCCTAGAGGAGGCGCCAGACCCAGCCCAGGGTTCAGGAAAGACTTGCAGAGCAAAGGACCTCAACTCTCCTATGGTCAAATGAGATTCCAGATTCTCTGCCTTAAACCTAACCCTCTCACAGTTTTTCCCCATTCTTCCCCATCCCTCACATCTTACCTACTAAATGGTCCTTCCAATTGTTCAAGCCAAAACCCTTGGACTTGTCCCGAGTCCTGTGTGTCTCTCATCCACTCCTCTCCCCCAACCATGCCTTGTGAGTCCCATCTGCTCTATTTCCAGAAGAGATCCAGAAGCTGACCACTTCTCTCTACTTGCACTGTCTCCCCTCTTCTCTGAGCCACCATTGTTGCCCACCTGGATCATTGCAAGAGGCTCCTCTCTGATCCAGGCTGGCCACTCTCCACCCTGTCTTCACACACAGCAGCCTGAGGGGTCTTGTTAAAATATAAATCACTCCAGCCGGCCTGCAGGAGGTCACGGTTAGATTCCCCATCAGGACCTGTGCCCATGTGTGGGCTCCATCCCCAGCAGGGGGCGTGCAGGAGGCAGCCAATCAACTATTCTCTCTCACCATTGATGTTTCTAACTCTCCCCCTCCCTCTCTGAAATCTATTTTAAAATGTTATATATAAATATAATCACTCTACAGCTTAAAACCATCCAATGATCCCCATCTCATTCAGAGAAAATCCAAGCTTCTCATTGTGACAATCTCCAAGGCCCTGACCCTCTCCTGTTCAGCCACAACACGCCCTCCAACCAACTGCACACAGACAGGCCGGACCCTTCAGGTCCTTTGCATTTGTTAACTCTGGAACATTCTTCCATCCTGACCAAATGCCTGACTCCTTTTTGTCCTTCTGGCTTCCTCTCACAAGACAATTCCTTCATGTCACTACTCATTATTTTTAAACTATGGAGGTTATTTCTGCTTATCCGTGTGTTGGTTCCTCCACTAGAACTGATTTCCTGCAATCTTTCCTGTTTGTTCTCTGCGGTGACCCCAGGGCCCAGGATCCACTGGGTTGGTATTTGTTGAATGAATGGGTGGATGAATGGATGAATGAATGAATGGATGGATGGATGGATGGATGGATGGATGAATGGATGGATGGATGAATGAGTGAAAGCTTCATCTGAGATTTGAAGGTGCTTGGCCTGCACAGCGCTGAGGGAAGTGTACCAGGCACTGGGTTTACTCTGGGCGCTACCCAGGCAGCCTCCCTGGAGGCAACAACCCCGCAATCCGGATCCACCTGTCACCTGCCTCCCTTCTCTTCTAGTCCAGGAGAAGTGGACCCTTCACACCCGCCCGGACCCCTCAATGCCGGCCCCGCAGTGCGCCTGCTGCCACAAGGCCCGCGCCGCCCTCCGCCGCCCGCGCTCCGGCCAAGCGCTGTGCGGCATCTGCTTCTGTGCCGCCTTCGAGGCCGAGGTGCTGCACACGGTGGTCGCGGGCCGCCTGCTGCCGCCCGGCGCCGTGGTGGCCGTGGGGGCCTCGGGCGGCAAGGACTCCACGGTGCTGGCGCACGTGCTGCGCGAGCTGGCGCCGCGCCTGGGCATCTCGCTGCAGCTGGTGGCCGTGGACGAGGGCATCGGCGGCTACCGGGACGCGGCCGCTCCTGCTGCACCTTCTGCGGGGTGCTGAGATGGCGGCGGGCGCTGGAGGAAGGGGCGCGCCTCGTGGGAGCCACGCACGTCGTGACGGGTGAGCGCATGCGCGTAGCAGCAGGCTTTGTGGAAGGAAGGAGCGCATGCGCGGGCGAGGGCGGCACTGACAGGGGCTGAGGCGCATGCCCGGGAAGTGAAAAGGAGGCCCTGGAGGATCTCAGTAAAAGGGCTGTGCGTGCCCCCAGAAGGCTCAGGGGCCTGGTATGTGCGCCTCGCTGCAAGGGGGCAGGGCAGGCGTGGCGAGCTTTTGAGCCACTGCCATCATCTTCCTGCACACACAGTGGCAGATAGAGGGCTGAAGGGGTCCCCTTAAGGCCTAGGGCCGTGGTTCTCTGCATTTTAAAAATGACATTCTAGCCCTGGCTGGTTTGGCTCAGTGGATAGAGTGCTGGCCTGCGGACTGAAGGGTCCCGGGTTCAATTCAGGTCAAGGGCATATGCCTGGGTTACGGGCTGGATCCCCAGCAGGGGGCGTGCAGGAGGCAGCCGATCAATGATTCTCTCTCATCATTGATGTTTCTATCTCTCTCTCCCTCTCTGAAATCAATAAAAATATATTTTAAAATAACAATAATAATAATGACATTCTATAGGTTTCCCCTCACAAAGGAGTATGCAGAGGTGTCTCCCGTCTGTAGTCTGAAACGTACCTGTGTCTTTTAACTTCTTTTCTCTCTCGGTTTGCCTCTCTCATTCTCTCTTACCCCCTCCCAGTCATCCCTTCAACAAGTAATTATTGACCATTTACTGTGCGCCAGATGCAAGCCATGTAGCCTCTAGCTGAGCGCCTAGCCTCGGTTCCCTCTTTTGTAAATTGGGGATATTAATAACGCCTGGGCCCTGGAGATGCTGAGAGTTAGGTGAGTTATGTGTGAAGCACTTAGACCAGAGGCCGAGAAGCAGTGACCCTGATACAAAGGTTTGCGGTTATGGTGCACAAGTCAGCCTGCTCCTGCCCGGCTCTCACATAACGTAATTACAACCTGAGAGGCGCTGCTAAGGAAAAGTACGCTTTGCGAGTTTGCAACAGGAGGACCTAGAGGAGGGAGAAAGGCGGGGGTTAAGGGAGCGTTTGGGAGTGAGCAGAGGCCTGAAGGCTGCGTGGGTAACCAGGTGAAGGGCGAATAGAGGTTGGGAGAGGTGTCCTGAGCAAAGGAAACAGCCCATCCAAACGCCCTGCGGAGAGGATGTGGGCCGATGGAGACGCCCTAAGAAGACCCGGGTTTCACTGTATAGAAAAGCCCAAGATGACAAAATGCAGAGTCAGTAGGCGTTTAGCTTAAAGTTTCGGCCGTCTGCGGTGCTGGACCTGATGCACTCGGCCCCCGCCCGCCGGCGCCTGCTCCCGCTGCGGGGCGCTGGCCAGCCGCGCGCTCTGCCAGACCTGCGCCCTCCTGGACGGCCTGGACCGAGGCCGACCCCGCCTGGCCATATGCCAGGGCCGTCGGGGGCGGGACGAGGTGGGGCCGGCAGCGGGGACTTCGCAGGTGCGGGAGCAGGTCCAGCCCCCAGCCCGAGAAGCCGTTCCCGCTGTCCACACCTTCTAGGGTCCCCAGCTCTCCACTGGGACCCGACCAAGGAGCGCCTGTAAATGACACTGTGAATAAATCCGAGTGACCTTTGCCCAGGGCTTCTGGGAGGGGGACACGACCGGTTGCCTCTGATCCTGCAGGAGCTGGGGGCCTGGGCTCCAGGGTCTGAGGGAGGAGGGGGCTGAACAACTTTCCACTCCTGAGCGAGTGGGAATTGGGGGTGGGGGTGGGGTGGGGCTTTTCCTACCTCTGACAGGTTCTCAGACAGCCCCAGCCCTTCCTGAGCACCTACTGTGCGCAGGCGTTTTCTGTTTGTCTGTAGAGGTAAATAAAGCCGCCTGACTTGACAGGCACACGGCTCAGTAATCACCATGCTACTCTGAGCCCTGCGCACCCTGCAGGCCCCGCCCCCTCTCATTCATTTGCATAATCTCTTGGGCTGTGGCCTGAGGTCCCCAGGCTGGACAGCGAAAGGAACTGGGCTTCAAGACGGTGGAATTGCTCCCCACCCCCTCACACCTGAATCCCTCCTGGTGTCTGTGATGGGTGGGGAGCAGCTGGGTGGGCTCCCCAGACCTCAGCTTCGGGAGGCAAAGCTGAGTGAGCCTGGATCCGTGACTTAACGTCTGTGGGCTGCAGTTGCCTCCGCTGAAAATGGACTCAGAGGAATGCTGTGAAGATTGGATAAAGGGCTTCATGAATGGTACCGACATTCACATTAAGGTTTGGCCACCAGGGAGCTCTGGTGGTCAGGGTTGCTGGCCCGAGGGTCCACACAAATGTGAGGCCCAGAAGCTTCCTGCCTTAGGGGGCGTGGAGGTGGGGTAGGGGGTGGGACTTGGTAATTCAGTCCCACTTCCAAGCTTTGCTGTGCCGGTTCCTGGTCAGGAACGCGCTCCCTTTCCCATCTTCCTGTGCAAATCCTCCAGGGTCCACCTGAGAGCCTCAGAGTCATCCACCCCGCCCACACCCCACCCCCTGGGCTGGCCCTCACCTGTGGCCATTCATGCTCTGGGTCTCATTTTTCCTAATTGGACTGAGTTTTGAGGACAGAGACCAAAAATCCCTCCCCTCCAGGTAGCACAGCATCATTCATCCAACATTTACTGAGCCCCTAATGTATACAGGGGTGGTAAAAATATAAATAAATAAAATAAAAGACAAAGCTCTCACTTGTGGAGCTTACAGTCTATGGGAGAGAGACAACAGAGGAGCAAATGCATACTCTGAGGTCTGATGGTGAGTGCTGTGAATAGGAAATGAAGGGCCGTGGCCAGTTTGGCTCAGTGGTGAGGGTGTCGGCCCATGGACTGAAGGGTCGTGAGTCGATTGCTCTATCCCTGGCCCTGGATGGGGCACATGGGGGAGGCAACCAACCAATCCATGTGTCTCTCTCACATGGATGTCTCTCTCTCTTCCCCTCCCTCTCTCCCTTTTCCCTTCCCTCCACTCTCTCTAAAAAAAAAATAAATAAATGGAAAGAATATCCTTAGGTGAGGATTTTTTAAAAAATAAAGAAGGAGCCGAAACCGGTTTGGCTCAGTGGATAGAGCGTCGGCTTGCGGACTGAAGGGTCCCAGGTTCGATTCTGGTCAAGGGCATGTACCTGGGTTGCGGGCACATCCCCGGTGGGAGGTGTGCAGGAGGCAGCTGATCGATGTTCCTCTCTCATCGATGTTTCTAACTCTCTATCTCTCTCCCTTCCTCTCTGTAAAAAATCAATAAAATATATTTTAAAAAAAATAAAGAAGGAAATGGAAGAATACGAGGGGAAAGGCTGTGAAGGGACCTATTTTAGTTTGGGAGATCAGGGCTTCTTTGAGGAGGTGACTTAGGTAGAGACAAAGCAAGGGAGGTTTCCAGCCATGACGGACTATCTCATGTCAGAACAATCTTTATGCTGAGACCAAATGGAAACAATGCACACCCAACACACAGAGAGATATAAAACAGTCTATATGAATACATCAAAGAGCAGCCAGAATCGCAGAGCAAAGGGCAGCTTATTCTGCAGGAGGGGCCAGAAGGCTAAGGAAGCAGCCAGAAAGCACAGGCTAAGAGGCTGGGAGTCGGAGCTGAGTTCAGCAGCATCGTGGGGTGGGAGACAGAAATGGAGTCTGGGGCTACTGAGGCAGTGAGGACTCGAGAGGCCAAAATCCTGGGGACAAGGGAAGAACAACATTGAGGTGAGCCCAGCATTGAGCTCCTCTTTTCCTCTGGGAAAACAAAATGATGTTCAGGGTCTCCTCAGAAGGCCGGGTCCCATAAATACCTCACTTAGGACCCAAATAGATTTACAAGTTAGAGTCAGGGTCACGGGCAAGTAGACTCATCCACAAGTACACCAGAACCCACTTTCAAACTCAATCCCACACTGGATTTTTTAAAAAAATATGTTCTAAGAGAGAGAGAGAGAGAGAGAGAGAGAGAGAGAGAGAGAGAGACATCGATCAGCTGAATCCCACACTCACCCTGACCAGGGATGAACCCACAACCTAGGCATGTGTCCCAACCAGAAATTGAACCATGGACCTTTCAGTACACAGGATGATGCTCAACCAACTGAGCCACACCGGCCAGGGAACACAGGGGATTAAGAAGATCCCTACTCTATCTGCTTGCTAGGAAGCAAAAAGTAGGGGTGCCTGAGCCACACAGTCCTATTTCCATTTAAATTGGATAAAACTAAGTTTAAAGCACCATTCACCAGTCTTACTAAACACATTTCAAGTGCTCCGTAGCCACATTTGGTCAGTGGCTACCGCATTGAAGAGCACAGGTACAGACCATTCCCATCACAAAACACCATTGTGCAGCACTGTTCTAGAATCCAGAGGGCCATTTTCCAGAGCCTCAGAAAATCTCTACAATTCAATAAAAACTTTACAAGCCTATCGGGACGAAAGGGCTGCACACCAGGAGGAAAACAAAGCATCGACATGGTCACAGATGAACCAGATGTAGGAGTTTCAGGCATGGACTTGATCATCAACGTGTTCAAGAAAAGAGATGCTAAAAAAAAATAGATGCTAAAATGGGGGCTCTCGCTGTCAAACTGGAACACTTAAAAGGAGAACTAGGCAGAATGGAATGACTGGCACCAGACTTACCCTCCTGCAGTGAACACCTATCAAACCAGAGATAACATGCTTGGCAACTCACCCCGCCTTGCTCCAGATATAGCTCTTCCTCCCAATCGCCTACCGTGATGACCAACACCAACACCCACCAACCACCCAGCTGTGTGCCCACAGAGGCAATGGCTTCCCTGAGAACTTCCTTTGAGCTTCCCCTTTCGACTTCCACATTGGCAGCTGGGCACCTTGGCTTTTCATATTCTCGGCTGGTTCTCTCACATTCACCACTCCTGTGCTTCAGGTGAGCTGCTCCGTGACGCTGTCTCGCGCCCTCCAGAACAGCACTTCCTGGCTCCTGGCACATGGTCTAAGGTCTGGGTCTTCTCATAGTTCTCTGGGTGGCTGTCTCCCAGATCGCACCCCGTCTGAAGCGCAATGACAAATTACACAGACTACAATGTAGACCCTGGGTAGGATTCTCCTCCTCCAGGCATCGTTACTGTGGCCGGTAGCAGGTGGGTCACTGCGATCTGATCAAGGACTGAGAGAATTCAAAACCTGGCTGCCGTCCCTATGGGGGTCTCATCTATTTCCAGCCCACGGTCCTCAGTCATCTCCTGAAGATTTGGCCTGGTCTTCAGGGCATAGGAGGACTGTGGAATGTGTTGGGCTCTTCCATAAATGAGAAGATGTAGATGATTCTACAGTAAACCCGTAAATTTCAGGATGAGAGAAGGTCAGAGCATGCGGATACACAGGCACTATGTCCTACACCATGTCGCCAATCCTCAATACCTGCAGCTTCAACCCTACGTCCTTCTCTAAGTTGTACCCCAATGAAGACCAAGGACCAAGTCCCACAGCCCTGTTACCCTACACACACACACACACACACACACACACACACACACACACACATACACACACATACACAAACACACACACACATACACACACACACACACAGCAGGGGCACCAGCAACAGCAACAGCTTGGGCTTGGAGGGACCAAGTCCAGGACCGCTGACCTCACGGATCAGTCCTTTCTCTCTGACGAGCAGGGGAGATGGCAGAGCAGCAGACATCAATGGCTTTTTCTGGGTTGGGCTTCCTCCCAACACCTCCCCCTCTCGGGAGCTTTCTTCTCCCCAGTGACAACCAGGAAGTAAAGGCTGAGCTTCTCACCCCAGGTCTGGTGACCACCTGTCAGGATGGCCCCTTTCCCTCCCACTCCCCCCTCCTGTCACCTGTCCCAAGTGTTCATCCTCACGCACCCTCAGAGAGTGGATGGAATGTGGTCTCTCTCTGCTTTCCCAGAATTCTTGGGACCTCTCTCTGGGAGCAGGAGGATCTGGAAGCCAGGACCTACCTGACACCGAATTCTCTCTCTGTTCTGGCCCACAGACCAGCTCCGGTCACACAAGAAGCCTCATGAAGCGATGGCTGAATTCATACTTATCCCAAGGGGCCCCTGATGGGCAGAGGCTAGAACAGAACAGGGGCCCTGACCCAGCTGCAGATGGGAGTGTGCTGGTTTGTGGGTTTCTGGTGTCAATTTCACTTTAGAAAGCTACTGAACTTGAGTGTGGTTGTCAGTCCGTTCTCATGGTTCCCATGAGCCCTGCTCTCACACCTTCTAACGTCTAAACCAGCTTTGGCGAACCTTTTGAGCTCGGCGTGTCAGCATTTTGAAAAACCCTAACTTACCTCTGGTGCCGTGTCACATATAGAAATTTTTTGATATTTGCAACCATAGTAAAACAAAGACTGATATTTTTGATATTTATTTTATATATTTAAATGCCATTTCACAAAGAAAAATCAACCAAAAAAATTAGTTCGCATGTCACCTCTGACACACGTGACATAGGTTGGCCATCACTGGTCTAAACAGTTCTTTCAGCCACAAAAGGCATCTCGTTTTTTATTGTCTCTATTG